AGGAAGCGGAGAATTCCATGTTTACCGAGCTCATCGCCGAAGAGAATACACAAGATTAAAAATCATGGAAGAAGAAGCTAGAAAGGTTCCATTTATATACAGCATTAGGCTATACAAGCTTAATAAATTGGTTCTCATAATCGGTCGGGTCAAATTTTACAAAACTTTCAAAAAAATTTTTAAGTATATTTACTATCCGGGTGAGTTTTTCTAAAAAATTTTATGTTTTTATATATAAAATTTTTTGAAAATAAAATTAAAAACCGGGAGTGCCAGTCACTTTTAAAAATTTTATGTTATGAGAACCAATTTATTAAGTTTGTATGGCCTTATATAACTATCATTAATTGAAATTTTTAGAAAAATAATAATGTACCAAATTTCATTTAGGAAGAAGAGAAACGCGAATTCGAAGAAAAAATGAAAGCAATTAAAGCAAAAGAAGACGAAAAAACTGCCAAAAGGCGGACAAAAAGGCAAAAGAAAAAACAAAAAAAAAAGCAATCCGGTGATAAAAAACAAAAAACTCAGGAGGATGATAATGATGGAAATGATGAATGCATTGAATCAGATGATGAAAAAAATGAATGAATATTTGTAAATAAATATTAAATTGAAATTAATAGTGGAAGCTTTATGATAAGTATATTTATTATTATTATTATATAACCTTTACAACATTCAAAACTCTCATAATATATTAAATAATTAATTTTTTTCCACATTCTAGATTCTCTAAAATTTTGGTTTCCTTTTTCGTGCTGTGTATTTTGAATCCAACGGTATATTTTTTTTTCCTCTCATACGCGCAATTTCTTTTTTATGCAAAACCCAATCCTTTTCTTTAATCGATTTGCGTTGTTTCCCTTTCGTTTTTTGACGCTCTTGAGTTCTTTAATAAAAAAATTATTTGTTAAAATTGTTAGTTGAAAGTAATAAAATTTAACTCTTACATCCATTAATTTAAAAAAGAAAAGTAACCTCTGACTCGAATAAGCTACAACATTTGGTTCATCCTCTCCATCTTCTCCCAAAGCCTTTGGCATTTTTGGTTTACCATCTTCTGTAGGAATTTGTCCGGCAAATAAACAAAGAAAATACTTTTTCGCTTTTTTTACTGTTGGGATAATCAATTACCAGACCACCTTCAACCTCACGATCTAATGCAATCTCTGCTCCAATGCAAAAAAAATATATATATATAAATATTAAATTTATATGCAGCATTTA